GGAGAGGCCACGCCCATCTCAAGTTACACACAGGAAGTTTTGTCTCAGTCCTGGAAAGCAGGAAGTTCCAGCTAGAGGATGAGATAACCTTCATGTCTACTCTAGCCGTGTTGTGTTTGACTGCACCTGATTCTTACATCCCAGAGTGAGCTGGCTAGTGGCAGACTGAGGCTGGTGGGGCAGTGCCCCATTCTCCCTAATGTATCAGCCTCCGCTGATCCTGTTGGATGGGAGAAGAATTCACAGAACTCAGATTCAAAAGCAGACTCAGATCAGATCATGTTGAGAATCTGCAGTCCAGTAGATTCCAACGAAGGTGGTCCCAGGGTACCAGAATTACCTCCATCCTTTCAACTCTTTCTTTTCTTTTTTAAAAAGTTCCAATATGCATCATCCAGCCAGCGCAGGGATCCTCATCTCTGTGCACTTTGAAATCCAAGTCGCCCTGGGAGCAACAGGACTTGATGATGTTCCATTGCTGTTAGAGGGGGATGCAGGTTAAGATCATGGCTGGTCCTTGTTTAGACGTGGAGCCAACCATGATTCTTCCATACAATTTCCTCTGAAAGTGACAGAAGCACATGGCAGCATGGGTCTTTTAAAGAAGAATTGGGGGGAGAGAGAAAGAGGAGAGAGAGAGAGAGAGAGAGAGAGAGAGAGAAGGAGAGGGAGAGAGATGCACATTACACACAGGTCTTGCTCTCCAAACACGGTGCTCCCTCAGGAAATTGTTTGCTCGGCGAACATTTGCATAATGAGTCAATGATTTCTATTGATTCCTATGGGGAGATTTCTAATGCGTTCCTGACCACGGCATCTCGACCCTGAATTGACAAAAAACAAACTGGGAAAGCCCCTGAATCCTTGCAAAAGGCAAACTAAGAAGGGGGAAATGCTCTCGATTGTCCAGTCTCTCCCCCTTTCTCCTACTCACCTTGGTTGAGTATCATGGTTTCTGGTGAAACGGCTGTGTGGACCAGCAAAACACAAAAAAGTAAGGCTTATTTAAGGCTGCTTATTCGTTTACAGTACTACACGTAGGTCCAGCTCTTCGTATGTCTGAATCTGTGGTGTGAATTTGGTTTGGTTACTAATTCTTCACATTTGGATAAGTGAATTTTCTATCATGAGCATTTGGATAGTGGGACCTTCATGTAGTTAAGAGGACAGAGGCAACCCTGCAACCACTGGACCTCCTCATATTTGTTTATTTCAACTTCACAATTTTGTGCAGATTTTAAAAGACTTTTGCCTTTAAAATCTGCATTGCATCTGGATGGGATGAAATTAGTTCTGTCCCCATGTAGAACTGGGACTGCCTGAGAGTCATTGGGTCCATCTATACTTACTCTCCAGTGTTATGTAGAGTAAATAGTACCATCAACTTGACTTTTTGAACATGGTCACAGAAACGCAATTGGAATAGCACTGTGTGTTTTACACACATAGCGCTTAAAACTTAGAAACACGAATGGCAACAAAAACCAAAATCTGTTGTGATTCAGAAGCTTTTGTGGTGATAAGCTGTAAATCAAGGTTCTGCTTGCTATGCAGCAAGCAAAACTGGAATTAACGGTTCATCTGCCATCACTAAGCTAGGTTGCTGCTGCCCTCTGCTGCCCAAACAGTAGAACACACGTGTTTAAAGAAAAACATTTGAAAAATCTGAAAAAGTACCTGGCATTTATATGTAAGGATGGAGGAGAAATTTGATTCAGTTCACTTTTAACTGATTTGCAGCTTCCAAAACGATACAAGAATCAAAACACAGCCAGCCTTTGAAATTCTCTGAATTTTGCAACCCCAAAATGTGCACAAAATTAATATACTGGCATAAAGTGTGTGTAAAAATACATGTATTTGTGAAAATAAGTTACAAACACACACTAGGTTAGGGGAAATTAATTTGCAGAAATATGCCTGCAAAATTGCATACATGTGTGTGTGTGTGTGTGTGTGTGTTATGTTAGGAGAAATTTGCAGTAAAACGCTAGTGAATTTTCATGAGGACTTTCGATTTTTAAAAAAAATGTGGACAGATGTGGAACTGTGAAGGGGTGAGCTTAAGACTGGAAAACAGGGGGAAACAGAAAATTGTCGGGTTTTCCCATCCCCATTTACAGACACAGAATTTCTGGAGCGTCCAAAGTATTTAATATACTTACTTGTAAGGACATAAGAGGGACGCGGGTGGCACTGTGGGTTAAACCACAGAGCCTAGGACTTGCTGATCAGAAGGTCGGCGGTTCGAATCCCCGCGACGGGGTGAGCTCCCGTTGCTCAGTCCCTGCTCCTGCCAACCTAGCAGTTTGAAAGCACATCAAAGTTCAAGTAGATAAATAGGTACCTCTCCAGTGGGAAGGTAAACAGTGTTTCCGTGCGCTGCTCTTAGTCATGCTGGCCACATGACCCAGAAACTGTATGCCGGCTCCCTTGGCCAATAAAGCAAGATGAGTGCCGCAACCCCAGAGTCGGCCACGACTGGACCTAATGGTCAAGGGTCCCTTTACCTTTAAGGACATAAGAAGAGCCTGTCAGCTGGATCTGACCAAGGGCCCATTGAGTCCAACATCCTCTTTCCCACAGTAAGCTGCTATGGGAAGCCCCCGAGTGGGACATGAGGGCAATGGGCCTCTCCCTACTCTTGTTCCCCAGGCAACTAGTATTCAGAACCCTGCTGCCTTTGATACGGGAGGTAATATATAGCCATTGCGACCAGTTGCCATTGACAGCCTTATTGTCCATGAATAATCCTTATCCTTTCGATAATCCCTTTGAAACAACCCTCTAAGATAGTAATACTAATTCCACATATTGCAGATGAGAGCCTGAAGCTCAGAGATAAGCATTGTGCAAACATTATCCTGAATGCATGCGGAGAGGCAGTCAGAGTGTGCTAGCTGGTCCACCCTCTAACCATTTCCAGTGTAATGTCCGAAAGAGCCTGTGGACACACAAACCTTATCCTAGGACCGCTCATCCCTCCAGCACAGTTTCAGACAGGGCCTCTCCCATCCCCACCTGGAGATGCTGGGAGTTGAACCTGGGACCTTCAGCATGCCAGGCAGATGTCCTAGCCTTGAGCTGTGGTCCTTCTCCAAAGGCATAGGATTGCAGAGCCTTTGATAAACAGCATCCCCACTTGGCTATTTCAGAAATGATGCAAGTGTGGGGATAGGGTGGGTCCAGCAGACACAAGTGGGCCCAATCCAGCTCCACCATCTATGTATGCTCCGAGGAATACTGCTACAGAGATAGGGAACATGGCATCCTTCAGATGTTGTTGGACTACAGCTCCCATCATCCCTGTCTATTGGCTGAGGCTGATAGGAGTTGGAGTCCAGCAGCATCTCAGGGGCATCATATTGGCTGCTTCTGTTGTGGATCTATGGTTGAGATGAGACTTGAAGCTGGGACATTTCATTTCTTTGTTGTTGTTGTTGTATATAATTGTTATTGAATTTTCTGTTTCACAATTTAACATCCTTAAAATATCAATGACTTCCCCTCTTCTCTTTCCATTGTTCATTTTGCATATCATAAATCCCTGCATATTTTACAAAAACTAAGCCATTATTGCAACCATCAAAACTTATTTACACTGTTGAATTTATCTTAATGCTACCAACGTTTTCAAGTGTACACAATTCCTCCCCCCCCCATATATTCAATAAACGTTTTCCAATCTTCTCTAAACGTATGTTCTTCTTGTTCTCTTATTCTATGTGATTAAGTCTACAAGCTGCACATATTCCATCAGCTTTTTGCCATTCTTCTTTAGTTGGGACCTTGCAGGTTTTCCATTTTTGGCATAACAAAACACGGACCGCAATAGTGGCATACATAAATAACCTTTCTTTTTCCTTCACTGATGAACTACTGCTTTTTCTCCCCAAGAGAAACCCAAAGTGGCTAAGAGCAAAGCAGAAAATAACTCAGTTAACATGAAATATCAGTCAGCAGAGCATCTTTCAAAACATAAGGCCAGTCAAAGCCATATTCATGTTGAATGTAAAGGTAAAGGTAAAGGTACCCCTGCCCGTATGGGCCAGTCTTGACAGACTCTAGGGTTGTGCGCCCATCTCACTCAAGAGGCCGGGGGCCAGCGCTATCCGGAGACACTTCCGGGTCACGTGGCCAGCGTGACAAGCTGCATCTGGCGAGCCAGAGCCGCACACGGAAACACCGTTTACCTTCCCGCTAGTAAGCGGTCCCTATTTATCTACTTGCACCCGGGGGTGCTTTCGAACTGCTAGGTTGGCAGATGCTGGGACCGAACAACAGGAGCGCACCCCGCCGTGGGGATTTGAACCGCCGACCTTTCGATTGGCAAGCCCTAGGCGCTGAGGCTTTTACCCACAGCGCCACCCGCGTCCCGTGTTGAATGTAGAATACATTAAATCCATAATGAACTAAGGCAAAAAAAAGGGTCTTCCCTTAGGCCTTGATCTCTCCAGGTCCCCGTGCTTGGCCTAATTTGTGCAGTGATGGGAGCTGCTTCTCTATGAGTGGCCCCATGGCACTGAAGAGTGCATCTGGCTATCCCTCCCTGATTCCCCAAATGCTACAGTTCCTGGGGTGCCCATATTGGCACACAGGCCACATTGCCCAGGGCAAGGATGGGAAATCTGTGGCCCTTCCAACTCCCATTTCTGTTGACCATTGATGATGCTGGATGGGGCAGTTGGGAGCTGAGTCCAGCAATATCTGGTGCTCCTCATCCCTAAGGTAGTGGAAGGATCATGGCTCCCTGGTGGAGCTCATGCTTTGCATGCAGAACGTCCCAGGTTGCAGGACAAGGAGAGCTTCCGCTTGAAACAATGCCACAAGGACAGTGACTGGGAGACCCATTCTGAAAACAAGCCATGCGAGCTGAGCTTTCAGAAGCGCACACATCCGCGGCAGTTCAGATCTCCTCAGAGAGGACGAGCTCTGGATAATCCCTGCAGTGGCGTGTGGTGCAACAATAACGTTATCTCTCTCTCTTTCTTCTTTTTCAGCACCCTTACCCGACAGAGGACGAGAAAAGGCAGATAGCAGCACAGACTAACCTCACGCTTTTGCAAGTCAACAACTGGTGAGTGAATTATCGACCTCCTCTTTGGAAATTGAAGAAGAAAGGTTGGTTTCTTCACCAAAGATGCCATTCTCTGACCTACCGTCTTATCCTCTCGTCTCAAGTTGTTGTTGTTGTTCGCAGGTCAAAGCAGAGCAGGGCCATAGCTGTAGAAAGTTCTGGCCTCTCAGGGATATTCCAGGCTTCCAGTTTCCTTTCCTTTTTTTATATAAAAAAGCAAGCTTCTTGCCCAGAGATAGCCAATATGGTTCCTTCCAGATGCTGGAACTCCCATCAGCCCCAGTCAGCTTGACTAGTGAGAATGGATTATGGGAAATGTAGTCCAATAATATCTGGAGGACACTGTGTTGGCTGTCCTTGCTCTAACCCTTTGACTTGTGATATAGATATAGAAAACTATGCAGCCGGTATACTATCCAATAGATAGAATTGTCACTGTGAGAAAATGATATTTCCCCAGGGTTCCAGGCAATGAATATAAAGTCACCAGGACAATGGTTAAGTACAGTCGTATCTTGTTTTGCGACCGCGATCCGTTCTGCAGCCCCGGCCGCTAGCCGAAAAGGACGCAGGGCAAAGCACCACGTCTGCGCACGCGCGCCAAGTGGTTTGTGTTTCTGCGCATGCTCAAAACACGATTTAGCGCTTCTGCGCATGTGCAAGCGGCAAACCCGGAAGTAACCCATTCCGGTACTTCTGGGTTTGCTGTGGACGTTCACCAGAATGGATGCTGGACAAGGTGGACATTCACCGAGGTTTTACTGTATTAGGCTTGTTTGTGTTTGCAATTTTTTGTAAATGATTTTATTAACATTGAATACAATTAAACATGTTTATAAACACTTTAGGTTCCCTGTGCGGAGTCTCTGGAAGTTCCTCAGTTATTCCCCGCCTCCCTCCTCCTCCCCTGTGGCTATAGGCCTGTAGAGGAAGTTTGGGCTGAAGGAGATTTCATGTTTTTTAGAAAAATTAAAACCTGGGTCTGAAATGGACAAGGCTACCCATCATTTTTTGAGCAGGGAGACGCCCCTCCTGCCTTGACCGTCACCTCTGGTCCTTCTGTAGTTAAGACATTCTTTGTCAAGATTCGCCCACATGGTCCTAGGGAACTTTCAGGCAGAACATGTGTGACAAAGCACATTTGAGGTTTCCAACCACATGTTACTTTTCGCCTTTTGACTAGTATGCTTATGTGAGGCAGGAGGACATTTGAAGGAGAGAATCGATGAGGAACCCTCTTCCAGCAAATAAATGCCTAGAAATAAACTGCATAGACAAAAGTATCTGTCAATTTCGGTTTTTCAGTTTTCCTGTCTTAAGTTCAGTTTGCCGATTTCTGCATCAGTCTGCAAATCTTTTCTTTAAAAAAAGAAAAGAAACCACACAAAAAAACCTTGCACATTTCTCCTAACACACACATTTTGGTACACATTTCTGCCTAACGTATGCCTTTTTGCAAGGCACGTCCCTTAATGTAAGGCATTTGTGTATATTATCTTCACTAATATACACGTGTGTGTTTTTGTGTAAGAAAGAGAGGGAGTTATACTTTTATGCAGGTTTTCAGGATTTGCTAAATTCCAGCTCTCACCACATGAGGGCACATTCCGAAAAGAAGTTCAGGCCAAAATAACAGGGAAATGTCACTTTGCAGAAGTGGAGCTAGATCCCAGATATGTTTATATGTACATGCACCAAAGTTTTTTAATCTCACGTAGGTGGTAAAAAATGACCAGATAGGCAGCCTTCCTTTCAATGGGAATTTTTCCAGGTCAAAAATAAACATGAGGATCAGGCTTTAATTGCATTGAGATGGGCTGAGAAGGCTTAAATAATCAATTTCTGGCAACACGCATGCACAACACTAGGAGGAGGGAGAAATTCGATTTTATTTGCACTTTAATGAGAAACTACCTAACTCACACTTCTCAAAACAATGTGAGGACCAAAACACAGTCGTCCTTCAAAAGTCACACTTCTCTGAATTTTGCAGTGCAATTCTCTAGCCAAGTAATGTGTACAAAAAGGCATAAACGAGAGTAAAGTAAGTATAAAAACACATATATTAGTGAAAGTAACATACAAAAATGCATATTAGGGGGATTGCTTTGCAAAAACGTATAAATTAGGCAAGATTTCATTCAAAAATGTGTATATTAAGGAGAAATGTTCTATAAAATGCTAATGAAGGACTTGCTAAAAAAAACAGAAAAACAATTGGAAACTGCTGTGGAAATGCGGAGAATTTAAGATTGAGGAGAGAAACTGAAAGTGACAGATTCACCCATCCCTACTTGGGAGAAAGCCTCATTGAACTCAGTGGGCTTACTTCTGAGCAAGCATTCATAGGACTGCAGTGTAAAACAGTGATGGACAGCAGGTAGCTTGGGATCTCCTGATAGATCTTTGGGTGATTTGCAGTAGATCAACAAGATTTTCTGATTTTTGGCTTTCTAACAATAGTAGCTTCTAAAAGGCTTCCTCCCTACTTTAAATTAGGGGGCTAAGAAACATAGAATGTGGGGGGGGGAGAGAAGAGTCAGATTTTTTTCCCGGGCTGAGCAGGTACTCAGAAGTAGCCTGCCCTGCTTTTTTGAAATGTGAGAGGCTATTCTGCACCTGGTTCCAATTCGTGAACTTCGTGGTTCTAGTAAAACAAATGAATAAAGTAAATTGCACAAGTGTGAGGTCTGCCTCATCCCTGCTGTAAAAGACTTGGGCTTTGTTTGTTTGTTTGTTTGTTTGTTTGTTTGTTTGCATTGATATATTTTGTATTTCACCTGTATCCATCATGTTAGATAATTTACAAACCAGACCCTTTTTTTTTTCTGTGAAAGCAGAAACGCACCTCAAGATGGTGTGAATCCACTTTCAGTGCCTGTATATTTCAATAATAATAAATAAATAAATAAATTTTACTTATACCCCACCCTTCCTGGTTCAAAAACTGAGCTCAGGGCGGCTAACAACAAATTTAAACCACTTAATTATAAAAGCAGCATAAAATACAGTATAAAGCCATGAATAACAATAAAATTCAAAAATCAGTTTAGGGGAAATAAGCATTAGATAATCCCCAGGGCTAGCTGGCTGAATTGGTCCTACTTGGGCCAGCGAGGAGACCAAGGGAGAATTAGCTGTGGAGTCTCAGAGTGGGTGATCATCATAAAAGGGGAGGGGGAGGGAAGGGAAGGGAAATAAAAGATCAGGCTGAATTCAAATTAAAGGCCAGGTGGAATAGCTCTTTCTTACAGGCCCGACGGAAGCAGGTTAAATCCTGAAGGGCCCTAGTCTCCTGGGACACAGCATTCCACCAGGTCGGAGCCATCACTGAAAAGGCCCTGGCCCTGGTGGAGGATAGTCTGCCTTCCTTAGGGCCCGGGACCTCTAAACTATGGTTGTTCATGGACCTTAAGGTCCTCTGCGGGGCAGACCAGGAGAGGTCCTTTACCTTTTTACCTATATGGAGTAAGGCAATCTCACTAGTAACCTTGTCCCAAGTTGTACAAGAAATAGAAGTGTAGAAGTCTTGTTTTAAAAAAATAATGATGCCACTTAACATGCAGATAGTCCAAATACGTAAAGAAATGCATCCATTCATTCTGGTTTTTTCCCTTCTCGTGGGAAGGTTTATCAACGCCCGGCGACGTATCCTGCAGCCCATGCTTGATGCAAGCAACCCAGATCCTGCCCCAAAAGCCAAGAAGATCAAATCCCAGCACCGGCCTACGCAGAGATTTTGGCCCAACTCCATTGCGGCTGGAGTACTGCAGCAACAAGGAGGCACCCCCGGTACTAACCCTGATGGTAAGAATTTGATGTGTGGCTGCAACCCTCAGTTGGCTTTTTGATTCTGTTGACCAGGCATAGGCAACCTCAGCCCTCCAGATGTTTTGGGACTACAACTCCCATGATCCCTAGCGAACAGGACCAGTGGTCAGGGATGATGGGAATTGTAGTCCCAAAACCATCTACAGGGCTGAGGTTGCCTATACCTGCTATTGACTCTGAGCATTTCAAAGGTGAACTACTTAGATATATTATATAAGGCTTCTCTGTCTCTGACGTTTTTCGAATCGGATCCATGCAACACTCTGATTTTGCACTTTTCCTCTTTGCCCGCACTTCATTTCTTGCTGTTCCGATAATTTGAAGCTAGCGTTTAAAGCTCTAAACAACTTAGACCCCAAATTTCTGAAAGACCACCCCCTTCTCTACAGAGCCTCTTGGGTGTGAAGATGAACAGAGCCCCTCCCCTGCCCCAAGTCCATGTAAAGGGCATGGCTGCTATGCGCTTTATGTGGGGCTGCCCTTGGGTCTGGTCTGGAAGCTCCAGCTAGTTCAGAATGCCAACAGATGACAGCATGAGACAGCTTTACTTGGCTGCCTGTATAGTACCAGGCCAGACCCAAGGTTCTTGTGTTGATATTCAAAGCCCTGAACAACTTGGGTCCAGGATACCTTAAGAACTGTCTGAGACCTTATGTTCCAGCTTAATCACTAAGATCACCCAGAGGAGCACTGTAAGTTATCCCCTGAGTTACAGAGGCCCAATTTGCCTCAACTAGAAGCCAAGAGTCACCAGTCCCATGCTGGTGGAACACTTTTCCAGCAGAGATTTGGTAGGTGTCCTCGCTTTTGACATTCTGGAGTCTCTTGAAGACCTTCTTATGCAGCTGTTGATTTTTTATTTTGATTACAGTGCTACCTCCAGTTGCAGACAGGATCCATCTCAGAGCTCTGGTTGGATCCCGAGGTTTCCGCAACCGGAGGGACCACTTCTGTGCATGTGCGTGCGGCAACAGACTGCTTCTGCACATGCGCATGGCGTGGTAGAGCGCTTCTGCGCATGCGCGCACAGTGAAACACTTCCAGGTTTGCTGCTTTTGCAACCCGAAGTTTACGTTACCCAAGGGTAACATAAGCCAAGGTATATGCATTTTTCAAATGGTGTTTTATGTTTTAACACTGATATTATATGGCAGTATAGAAATCTTTCATAAATAAATAACAGGACTGAAGAAAGCCAATTTCCTTCAGCATGGGCAACAGTTCGCCTCAATTTTATCCTCAAACAATTCAGTGAGGTCAGTTTAATGCACTGCCCCGGTGGTGGTACCATAAGCAGAGCTCTTGCCCGTGCGCCATATCAGCTGTTTGCTTTTCCGTTCTAGGCTCTATAAACATGGACAACCTGCAATCCCTCTCCTCTGATAACGCCACCATTGCTATGCAGCAGGCCATGATGGCAGTGGCTCACGATGACTCACTTGACGGGACAGAAGATGAGGAGGACGACGAGATGGAAGAGGAGGAGGAGGAGGAAGAGGAAGAGGAGGAGCTGGAGGAGGAGACCGAGGAACTCCAGACAACAAATGTTAGCGACCTTGGCTTGGAGCACAGTGACTCGCTTGAGTAAAGGACCCTGGTCAGTCCTGAAGCATACGCCTCCTGAGAAACCTGGCTGCTTGCCTAAATCATTGGCCTGAGAAGAGAGCCTGAACTTTCACGTACAAGCCCTGCACCCCTTTAAAGAGATCATTCAACGACAATGCCCTTACCCCGAGTCCGGCTCACCTGCTTTCAGTTGCAGGAGCGGACACGAATGATGCACATTCAAGAGACCTGCCGAATGTGCAAAGTGATTATTTAAGTGAAGGAGACACGTTTACAAGGCACATATTGTGGCCAGTTCATTTCTTCTTTTTTTTCCCTTTGTTTTTGATAATAACAACAAAAAGTGTTTTTAGGCTAAGCTGTTTTCTGTACGACTGAATGTTTTATGGATGTTCTAATGCAAAGCCTTTTTTGTGACATGCAATTGAGAGGCAAGTCTGTTTTCATTTTCACGGCTTTTATGAGAGATTTATAGATGCAAAGAGAGAGAGAGAGAGAGAAGAGATTGATGGTTTTTACAAAAAGAAACTAAAAGACTGTAATGATTATAAATATCTAGATGTAGGAAAAAAACAAGTTTGCAAATTTGCAAAAAAACAACAACAACCACACGACTGGACGTTGAGCGAGAGTTTAATGCTGGACCCAGGTAGATTCCTGGTTAGTTCTGAAGAAGTGGATATCAAGTCTTCAGGATTTCAGTGCGCCAGATCCCAAGGCATGTGGAGAGAGCCACATTGTGGTTAATTTGAGAAATGGATACCACACTGCCATCTGAACCATTTGGGAAGGGGAAATGGAAGGTTTTAGCCCTCTGAATGGAAATGTCATAATGGTAACATGCCTGGTTTGATTCCCTGCTTACAGGATGCAAAGTCAACAGCCCCCCCCCCCAAAAAAAGAGAATGCCCCTGAATAATTATGTTAATTGTTTAGAGGATCATAAATTGAGATGTAACCATTACGGCTTATTTCATTGGTTGAATATGAGCAGGCTCAGATTTCCAAACGTTTACAGGTTCACTGGCCAAGCAAAAAGCGGCTTGGAGAATTCACAGGTTTCTGAGCAAAGAAGAGATTTTCTGGAGCTTAGTGGAACTGCTCTCCAGATGGTGAGATAAATGCCCCTTTCACAATCTCATTTCCCTGGAACTCGTCACCTGTCACCTTTTACCACCTGTGTCTCTGCCACCTCCAGAACCTCCAAATGAAAAGGTCTCCCAGGCACAACACCCAACTGGATGCGTTTTATACATTCAGGATCAGGATAAGATGAAAAATAGCTTTCCCCCATTGACCGCCATCACTCACTGCCTTTGGGCAGACTTTTCTTTAAATCTCTCCACACGAGGCAGACAGTAGCTCACAAACGTGGAGTGTCCTGTGTTTTCCATCCTGCTGCAGTAATCTTTTTTTTAAAACCATTTGGCACCCAGGCGAAGAGGGGATCCACCATGCATGAACAGCTCGCCTTGTGGTGGCAGAGCTTTAAAGCAGCAGAGTTGATATAAGCACTAACCGTAAGAATGCCTTGTTGGTCTCTGAAGCTGTTTTTTCTTGCCGCTTAAAACTCATGAGTGTGGCCCGTAAGTCAATAAACAGCCGTTTTTAATTCCAACAAGCGTTCCTAGAAATGCAGCTGTTAAGTTTGCCTAAATCTGGTGGAGTTCACCATCAAGCAGCACATACCCACTTCAACCTAAACACATGCAAAGCGCATGCATGCATGCATGCAAGCTCCTCAAATAGCAGGTGCAGTCCTAAGGCCAGCAAAGGAATTTGCGCATGGAGCCAGCCCCTGCGATACTTCCGCCATAGAGAGACATATAGCAGATTGCACTTTCCTCCTAGGGAGCATAGACACTCCCAAACCAGAAGATGGTGCGTCTGATCATTCAATGAGCATGACATTTGAACATGCAGTTCAGGGGGGGAGTGTGTGACTCGTAGCCAAGGAGGCTTTGCATTTTGAGATTCGTGCATGCAGTACTGTTGCACCAGTCCTGGGTCAGAGCGTTCCATCACACTCATCGGCAGTGAGGTCAAAAGGAGGCAAGGGTGGAACACAGGCTGGTTTCTCCAGGAAAGGAGGAAATGTAGTCAGTGTACATCCAGTGCATACCCAATATCCTGCACCACCAATCCTAAATCCTTTCTCAGAAGTAAGCCCCACATACTTAGCTCAGTGAGACTTTCTCCCTGGCAAATGCAGCATTGGGCAGAAATAATCAGAATGCTTAATGGAACAGCATGTGCAACGTGACTTCTGCAGGCACCAATGCAAATCAACCTCAACCAGGGGGAAGCCAATGTTGCTTCAGGCTACAGCTCCCATAATTCCTGGCCATTGGCCATGCTGGTTGTGGCTGATGGGAGTTGAAGTCTCCCTGCAACCCAGACCAATCAGAAAGGCCAGAAACTTCAGGATGGCTACTAAAGAACTGTACGTTGGCTCCAACCACGTAGGGGGCTGGTCAGTGTTGGGTCCAGGTTTGGAGGAGCCCTTGGGCAATGTTATTTCAACGGGGCCCCTACCAGAGTGGGTGTCCGTGCTCCTTGCCACAGCTACCCTTGCCCATATGCTTGCTTTTTTCTCTTTGGGCCCACCTCCCAGGGAAAGGCAGCAAGGGATGTAGATTTTACTGGTCCTCCTCACTCCATTCAGCACTCGGAGACAGCAAATGAATAAACACAAGCAAGGAGGGAAACTTCACATGGCCAGGAAGCTCCCAGGAGTGGCTGTGAGGCTGTAGACTTTTGCCCAGTTATGCCAGCCCTTGGCGCCAGCCCAGTTCGTTCTATGCCTTGGTTTTGTGGTCCTCCATTTCCCCACATTATCAAAAGGTAGCAAATGCCCCACCAGGTGCTTGGAGCCTGCACCCAACAAGCTCTCCAATGTGTTGAGTTTTTTTATGGTCACTTGAAGCCACGTTGAAAACGATAATCTAGGAGGGGCGAATTTCTCAGAATCGAAAATTAACTTTCGCACTCAGTCTTTCCATTCACTTCCCAGAACTAAATGGAAGAGGGCTTCAAGAGAAAGCTCCTGAGTTATCATTGCCCCTATCTTCACTTAACTTATTATTTTGTTTTGTACATTGTGCTCAGGAAAATGTCTCCAGTGTACAAAAAAAAAATTGGATTGTCAGCTTGTGAACAACAGTTTGTGGACCTCTGGATTATCTGGTGGTCAAATGTCCCTGAAATGAATGTATTTTGCCTGGGAGGAGGGAGCTGCTGTTTCAACAGAGATGTAGGACCCCAATAATCTTATTTATAATCTGTGATATCCTAGCAATCTGTTATGGGGTTGTTTTTTCCTATGCTGTCATCGCAATGAAGCTCACTGTTCCAAAGTTAGGGGTTCGTCTTCCTTCCTAGCAAGGCACAATCTGCCCTGCCACACGCAAACCCTTGCAAATGGTCCACACTCCTTTCCTCAAGGAAAGCCAGTGTGGTGTAGTGGTTAAGAGCGGTAGTGGTTAAGAGCGGTAGTCTCATAATCTGGGGAACCGGGTTCGCGTCTCCGCTCCTCCACATGCAGCTGCTGGGTGACCTTGGGCCAGTCACACTTCTCTGAAGTCTCTCAGCCCCACTCACCTCACAGAGTGTTTGTTGTGGGGGAGGAAGGGAAAGGAGAATGTTAGCCGCTTTGAGACTCCTGAAGGGGAGTGAAAGGCGGGATATCAAATCCAAACTCTTCTTCTTCTCAATGTGTCAGCCGAACAAACCACAAACTTCCAAGACAAAACAATTCCCCCACCCCCAATTTTAATGTTTTGGTTACCCATTAAAGCTTTATTTGTCTCTTCCAATTCTTCCCTCACGAAGCACAGTTTTTCAGCTTGCCCCTCCTTTTGGCTCTTAGAGGAGTTGAGAGGTTTGATCAATCGCTTTACATTAAGGGTTGAATCGATGATAATTCCTTGGGAATGTATTGGAATATCAGTGGGCAGGAAAGCTCCCGTTTTTTTGGATACTGATATGGCATGAATGTAATATGTAATTTCATAGAAAATTCATTGTAATTTAGTATTAATTCATGTCCATTTATTATAAAGTGCTACCAGATGAGGTTTTCCAGCTGTATTTCATTGTGTTTATTTATATGCTCTTGTTAGTAAAAAGGATTAGGAATAAAGAATAAATAGAGACCCAAGTCGACAGGAGGGAGCCCCATGTTACCTCGCCACAACATGATGCACCCAAGGAAAATGTCCATTCTCAATGCTTATTTCAGCCAATGGTTCATGCGCTTGCCCACTCCTGTCCTCCAGCACAGCCACAAAGGAGCTCAGAAGGATGGCTTCCACTTTCTTATAAACCATGGCTTGTCACGTCAGCCGAACCCAGCAAACCGTGGCTAATCCTATGTGGTTTGTTTGAAGCATCCCAGCTTGTTCTGAAGATTCCTTGTTTCTGAAATCCATAGCTAGGATTAATCACAGTTTTGAGTCCCAATGTGACAGTAAAGGTAAAGGTACCCCTGCCCGTACGGGCCAGTCTTGACAGACTCTAGGGTTGTGCGCTCATCTCACTCTATAGGCCGAGAGCCAGCGCTGTCCGCAGACACTTCCGGGTCACGTGGCCAGCGTGACAAGCTGCATCTGGCAAGCCAGCACAGCACACGGAACGCCGTTTACCTTCCCGCTGGTAAGCGGTCCCTATTTATCTACTTGCACCCAGGGGTGCTTTCGAACTGCTAGGTTGGCAGGCGCTGGGACCGAGCAACGGGAGCGCACCCCGCCGCGGGGATTCGAACCGCCGACCTGACGATTGGCAAGTCCTAGGCGCTGACGTTTTACCCACAGCGCCACCCGCGTCCCTTAATGTGACAGTAACCTGCAGTTAACTATTTTTTTAACTGAAAATTCCTTTGGGGCAGAGAAGAGGGGCAGTGTACATAAGCCCAAGGCTTGCACAGGTTTGTTCCCATTGTGATGGGCCATGGTTTCTCACTACTGAATTTTGTGGCATGTAGATCATAAACTTCACAGTAACAGTTTTACTACAGGTGTAAGAGCTGCCTCCATTCATGTCAAAGAATGAAGAAAAAAACCCTGAACACCCTTTCTGTATGGAATATACGCATGCATGTATCAGATCATTGGTCTTGTGTACTGGGAATCTGCGCCGCATTTGACACCAAGTACGTGGCTCAAAGCTCTTATCTCCCTCCTGCGTGTTGCATTAATTTACTCCACAATAGTCAAGTTCCATGGTTGATTACTGTATGTAGAAAATCTCGGCAGCTGCAGCATGCACACTACATGGCGCTGTACTGCTCATGCGCTTGCATCCACATGCATGCGCACTAAGGTCAGAAGGCCTCTAGCGAACTTGGGAGATTTCAGAGATGGAAAGCTAGCAGTGGGGACTGAAGAAACCCAACAACTACACTGGACATTTTTCGGAAAGCAGTCTCACCACTAAGAATTTTTTTCCCCCCATCCCCAGCAAAATAGGGACAAATTAGGGGTTGTGTTTCTTTTAGAGTCTGGGATCAAAATAGGGGGTCCTCTCTGCTTAATAGTTGGGGTGTGTTCTATATATTTAACTATAAATTATAAACCCACTCCCTTTTCTGCAACGAGGCCCTCAATACACAATTAAATAACACTGGTGACAGAAAACTAAAAGTTTTAGGAGCTTCAGCAAAACAAACCACAACAGCAGGAGGAAAAACAACTTTCAGGCACCTGAAGAAAGAAGGAGCCAGCTAGGCTTCTCAGAGGAAGGAGCATCACAACCTTGGCACCACTACTGAGAAGATTCTGTCATGGGTCCCTGCCAGCCGAACCTCTGAAGCAGAGATGGGGAACCTCAGGCCTGGGGGCCAAATGTACCAACTCCCAGGCATCTCTGTCTAGTCGTCTTGACTCTTCCCAGGCCATACACCCTCCCGAGTGTCAGGCTTCAGTGACTTGGCTTCCTCCCCCACTTTGACCGTAAATAAGGAGAACA